AAATTAATACAAAATGATATTACTAGAGGTGTAACGATAACCGAAATATTGTGATATTGTATCGTCAAAGTTCTCATAATAATATTGTGGAATATATTGAATTACAAGTCTCTTTGCTTAAATTAAGAGTTATGGTGCAGCAGTAGCTTAAAAAAAAAAAAAAAAAGACAGAGGGGGACTACATAGACCATGATCCTTTGCTCCATTTCAGTGCAGACTACAAGAAGAAATAACAGGTCTAAGCACTTTTAAGTCTTAGTTCTTTGGATTAAGTCTTTTCAAGGCATTTTAAGAGGAAAAAGTATCATAAATATCTCAATAAATATCGTACCGTGAGATGTACATCGTGAAAATATCGTATCATGAGACTTGGATATCATTACACCCCGATATATTACACATTTAATAATATTTTGAATTGTCAGGTTGTGAATTTAAATATCACAGATTGAATGTTATTTAGTACATTTTATTTTTATATATATATTTTGTTACTTACTGTACATACATTTATATAATTTATGTCTTATTGATGTCTTATTGTCTCTTGCTATTTTTTACTGCAACTTATTTAGAAGTTTATTATCACTTTAATTATTATCGTCTTTAATTATCACAAGTTTAAGTATAAAAAATATTATGTTTCACTTGTAGAAGGGGGGGTTTAGTGTCTCCAGTTCTTTTTATTAGTGGTGACAAGCTGCATGTATTTAGACCCAAAGACAAACAAAGCAAAAGCAAAAACTATGAAAATCATTGACAAAGTTTGCAACTATTCAAATGTGCAGAGAACAGAGAAGAGACACTACACGTAAGAGGCTCCCAGTGTGTGTCCAGCATGTACTTCATTGATGAGCACAGTTTCTTATTAGCGTCCGCTCTTCCGGACGCTGGAAAATTCACGCACGTCACCGTTGCTAATTGAGGAAAGGCTTGAAATAAAATAATTTAAAAGTATCCTGGCTAATTTACGTGGGCGTGGAGGATGCTAAACGCAGAACGTGATCTCTATCTGTCCCACCGGAGTTAAACAACACGCCAGATGAAATAATAACTTGTGAAAAGTAAAACTAAAACTAAAAATGAAGAGAAAAAATCATGCCGTGTGATGGATCCAAACCATTTAATTGTGCTGCACGGCCTTGGAGAATAATTGTAGTCCCTGAACACAAAACATTTTATAATTAGAACCAAACTTCAGACTAGACTCGGGAGGGGGGGGACTAATTGGCAGCGTGGTGTTTAAACTGATTTGACTTCCCCGAGAGACAACACGGGCTTGAACATTTTTTCAGATTTGAACTGAAGAGAAAGGCAAAAGTTAGCAGAAGCCAATAAGAAATGTATCTTAAAAGTTCTATGTTAAGTTACCTCATCAAAAATACCTGGCAGATTGTTTTATTTCACTCAGTCATGTTTGAGTTGCAGCCGCATTTATTCTGTCCTCCCACTGCAGGTCTGAAAATGGTTGGCGACACCTTCTGACATCATTAGGAGATAATCCAGAAAGTGCTTTTTAAAGTGTCCTATATTAAACAAAACCGACTCTTGTGCTTTAAAGGGACAGACTGAAATTTTGGACATAGGACCTCATTTCCTAGTGAGCCAGAGTGTTGGAGACGTGTGGAGACACTTTTTTAAATATTGCATCCCGTCCTTGTATTTGCAGAGGTCGCTGGTGCTAGACTAGTGCATGTCAATGGCCATAGTTATCCTGCCACTAAAAACAGTCTTACCCACTCCACAAAACACCAGAAGCAAATCTATTATTACACCAGACTGTCCATGTGAATGTGTGTGTTGACAGAATAATTTTAGAAGTAAAACTAACCTTACATCGCATGAGTCGTCGCATGTTGAGGGACTATTTTCTCAGCAGCAGCGGAATTTTACTTTGCAGGTAAGAAAAACTTAACTAAAATTATATATAAAATCTCTGAAATATATGAATGCACCTAAAGCTCAAAAAGTGTATTCCCACATGTGTGAAATTCCCCTGGACTTTATGGACTCTACTCTAATGAACTCTTGCTCTAATGAACCCTTGCTATTATCTTTTTCTATTCCTAAATGAACTTTCTTTTTCTTTTTTTAATTACTATTGTATCGTACTGTTACTGTATAATATGTTGTGTTTATGTTCCCTCTTCCCGACATGTAACTGTTGACGATACACAGCCATGTTTGTTGTATCAAGTTTACGCATCCAGTTGTGTTTACTAATTTAAAAAAAAAAAAAAGATAGGTGTTAGGTGATATCAGTCCGCCTTTGCCAAGCTTTTTATCACGAAGTACAACTCGCTGCTGCTGCTCAGACATAAATCCTTCAAATGCAAGGTTGGTTTTACTCCTAAAATTATTCTATCAACACACACATTTACATTGACAGTCTGGCGTAATAATAGATTTGCTTCGGGTGTTTTGTGGAGTGGGTAAGACTGTTTTTAGTGGCAGGATAACTATGGCTATTGACATGCGCTAGTCTAGCACCAGCGACCTCTGCAAATACAAGGACGGGATGGAATATTTTAAAAAGTAAAGTGTCTCCACACAGCTCCAACACTCTGGATAACTAGGAAATGTGGTCCTTCAAACCTCAAAATGCTCTATGCTTTTGAAGAAGACACTATATTATAACATAGATTAGAAAATAGCGTAATAGAGGTTCTTTAAAAAGACCCAAGATGATCACTAAAAATTTAAAGTGACTGATATTATATTAAATGTGCATTCCTACTTGCACGTTTTATGAATTACAATCATTTTTTTTTCCCACATTACTGCCAACAACAGAATTAAAGCTATGCAAATATGAAGTCTACAGAGAGATAATGTATTCTTCCAACACCCTGACTGTTTTGTTACAGTGTTGGGCCTATGATCTTTGTAATAGACGACACACTTGACTTGAGTGTTAGAAATCTGTCCTCACAGCTTTAAATGACGTTGCGGCCACCAAATGTTTGTCACATCCCTCTGGTTAGTGAGACTTGGCCCTGGATTTCTTTAAATGTGTCGCTCAATCGACTCGAAAACTTGACAAGAGTTAAAAAGAGGATATGAGGAAAAACTATAACTGAGAATACTGCAGTTTATCCGAAGTTTCAACAACTCATTTAAAAGCAAAATGTTTTCTAGTCAGTGTGTGTCCAAAATCGAATTTACTGTGAGAGTCCGCGACCATCTTGTCTCCATGGAGATATTGCTTTGATTGGAATGTCCCACTGTATGGCATTAAACTTATTCTGTGAATGTGAATAGAGGTGATGCCAATAGGCCAAGTTCAGATCTACAGAGCGACCCCGTTCAAAATAATAATGCATGATTTTCCAAAGCATTTTGATATAAAAACTAAGCATGTGACAATATCCAAGTCTCGCGATACGATATCGTCACGGTATGAACCTCATGGTACGATATTTATTGCAATATCATGGTAAAGCTCATGATATGGTGGAAAGGCTCACGATTATGGATGTAACAATATTCAATTATCTTATAATATTTACGCAATATTTTCACAATATACATCTCACGGTACAATATTTATTGCGATATTTTGTGGAGGCTAATAAAATTTTATATGTTACTTTTTCCTCTTAAAATGCCTTGACAAGACTTAATCCAGACTTAAAAGTGCTTAGAACTGTTATTTCTTCTTGTAGTCTACACTGAAATGGAGCAAAGAATCATGGTCTATGTAGTCCCCTCTATCTTTTAAAAAAAATTTTTTTTAGCTACTACTGCACCATAACTCTTAATGTACTTGTAATTCGATATATTGTGATGAACTTCTGATATTGTGAGAACTTTGACGATATAATATCACGATATTTCGGTTATTGTTACATCCTTAATAAAAACACAACTAATCTAATAAATGGAAGACTGATCACTATAATGTCATAGCGTGGAACAATCCAAGTAAAGCAGAACATCTCCACTAAGACGAGAAAAGTTACATAGACTTAAAAACATGAATCAGAACCAGAGCATTTTAAAGGGTTTGCAGTGATCCAAAGGTGTTCCTCATTAACCCTCATCTTATGCATACAGACCATCCTCATTATTCACAGTGATGAGTTTAAGTGGGTTTCACGAGTGGAGTTTTGCCACTGCCGCAAAGCCAGCAACAACTTACATGCTTGCTAACCATGCACCTACAGATTTTCTGACAAGTAATCGCTTTATAATTAAATTATTGATTTTTTTGTCACATAAAATTGCTGTAACAACCGCTTTGCAATATTTTGTGCAGCCCAGAGCCTTGAACATGCCACTACTGTCCTCGTATAGACCGCAAACTAGGGCTGCAAGATTAATCATAACTGAATCTAAATCGCAATCTGAATGGACACAGTCAGCAATTTAGAGACTGTAGTTTTTAAAGTACCATAATTTCCTCCACAAACAACAAAATATCCTGCCTTATTCACCCCGTCTTATGTGATTCTGGTATATCGATTAGTCAAATAAAAAGCTCTCAAAACTATTACGTACCTCTGTGTATCTGACCCAAACTGCACTCACAAGACTACACCTACACAGGACAGGAGTTTAAGCAAAAACTATTTATGCAGAAAACAAGTACTAGTGAACAATTTTTTATATAAAGACAGCCTAATCTTGTGAATCATGACAATCAGACAATTTTACAAATCCCACATCTTCAACTAACTCACTTCTCTCTATTGTTGCCTCAAAGAAAATCCTTATAATCTAAATAAATTAGTCGACTAATACAAACTTTGGTCAACCAAAACTCCATCGACCGATTAATCGACAAAACCAGTAAAGACCACAGCCCTACTCAGTGCAGTCTTTTTGTCAATACTTCTGGAAGCGCTGAAAATATTAACTTTGAACAGAATCTTATTATTAAAACATAAATCCAAAATGTAAACGCTCAAAAACAACACCATTTGATATTTTCCCCCAATGATTCAGCCCACTTGTCACAAAAACATCTCATATGAACGCATAAGTCCGAGCGAGAGTACCTGCTGACTGTATTAGCTCACTGTAGTCCGTCCCTCTCTGCGCGGGCATGTCCTCGTCCACTTCCTGTGCCTCGGAGTCTTCGTATCTGTTCCAGTTGGACTCCAGCTTCCTCTTGGAGAACGACTGGGCCACATGATCATCGCCGCCAAAGTCCCCGTCATCCTGGTCCTAGAAAAAAAACAAAAACACAAACAATTCAACAATTTAATCAGCAGTTAGAAAATGACACACTGCCTTCGCTTACGTTAATCGCAGGCTCCTGAAAATGTGTTGTTTAAATCCATTTTGTGTTTTCTTCTTGAGTTTTTGGTATTTACTGATGAAGTGTGCATTGTGTCGCCATGGTAACTAATGAACTTTCCACCCTAGACATACAGGCAGGAGACCCCCACCGTGTTATGTCACTGGAAAGTAAAGTAATTGGTAATTTCCCAGAATTATGGACTAATTGTATTCTTATGAGAACTTGAAAAAGGAATGACTTGAAATGACATCGTTGGCATTAACGTTTTATATGATATTTATTACAAAAGATAATGGGGCTGGGTCACATCGCATTTTGGGATGATATGAAATTGTAATCTGGTGATATCATTTTCATTTGAGCGGAGCAATTAATCAAATTTTAATCAAGACTGAGATTGAGACATGTCTTAGGTCTGAACGATTTCGGTAAAATATTCAACAGCATTTGCTTCCACAGTTGATTCTGTTCAAAGTGCACATTTTATCCAGAAGTATTAACATCTCAAAGAACCAGTGAAATCCTATTATTAAATACTAGAAAAGCACTCAGAGAGCGCAGACCTCCGCCAAGGACTACCCCCATTTTTTATATAAATTGCGATAAAATCAGTCTTCTGGATCAGATCCGGATCAGCCTTTGGAATATGAAAGAGGATCCCATTGTCCATCCCTGAGTCAAATTTCATGGGGTTTGGTCAATAATTAACCGAGATATTGAGAAACAAAATTTTTGGCCCCATTTACCACAATGTTAACAAAAATTTCAAAGTGATCCAGAACCAGGATTTCTTCCGGATCACCCCCAAAATGAAATCAGTTCTTCCTTTTCACATTTCCAACAAATCCTGAAAATTTCATCAAAATCGGTCCATAACTTTTTGAGTTCTGTTGCTAACAGACAAATAAACAAACAAACAAACAGACAAACAGACAGACAAACGCCGGCAAAAACATAACCTCCTTGGCGGAGGTAATAATAATACAAGAATCATATCCAATTCAAAACATTTGTAGAGGGCTTAAGTAGATTTTTAGATAATAAGACAGGATATTTTGTCATTTGCAAAGGATTAAAATAATTGTAGTCTTTGCAGTGTGCCAATAACAACTATCACACCACCTCCTCGTGTCGTCAATGAAGAGTTCTTTTTACTGATGGCCTGCTTAATCTTTACTGTGGCTTGTACAGTCTTGGGACTTAAAAGATGCCACCAACATCAACAACGCCACCGCCAAATTAAAATAATTAACATAAATTACAATTAGAGAAGTATAATATAAAAGACACAAAATAAAGACATGAACAATTACGAAAACATATCTCTCTGTCTGACCCATACTTTGGAGGTAGAATGACTTTTTAACACAAGTTTATTCACTTTATTTGAGCTTTAATTGGCTTGATTTACTGCTTCTCAACCAGGTGTGCTGATTCATAAGTCGGTTTCACTTCGTGGAAACTGTCTGACCTCACAGCATTAGGATTCATTCTCTCAACTGTAAACGGGTACCTTTTTAAAAAAAAAATTTAACCAGTCGCTGCTATTTGGTCGTGCCGTATGTAACCCAATCCAATACAATTTTATCTGTATAGCACATTTTACCTATACAAAGTCTCCAAAGTGCTGCACAGAGTAGGCACAATATAAATTAACACATTAAATAAAATAAAGCATAAAGTAAATAAATAAGCAAATCAATAAAAAACATAAAAAATACAAAATAAACTCAATAAAAGACAGTCAGAGGACCACACAATTCTCACACCATGTTAAAAAGCCAGTGAGTAAAAGTGTGTTTTTAAACAAGACTTAAAAGAATCGACTGAAGGGGCCGTCTTAATGTGAGCGGGGAGTGTGTACCAAAGTTTGGGACTAACCACAGAAAAGACCCGGGCACCCCGAGGTCACCCCAGTCACTCCGGCATTTTATCATTGAGTTTTTGGAATGATAAGTTGGATCTGGCCCTCCGACCTCCAAGCATAAGGAGTGTAAGGAAAATGAGGTCTGAAATGTCCGTTGGGGCCAAGTCCATGAAGTGCTTTAAAAACAAACAAACTTGACAAAATATATATCACCCAACCTTAATACTAAGGCGGGGTATCATTAAGGAGTTGCAGATACGATAAATATCTCGATACATAGGCCATGATACAATACAAACCTCGATACAGTGCGTTTATGATCCGATACGATTCTGTACGATATATTTCAAATCAATTCGATACGGTTCAATAAAAAATAGACTAAATCATGGCTGTGATACTAAAAGTCTTTGTTAAATCATTTCTTGTGCAAAGTGAACATGAAACACAAACATTTTAATCATCAAAACAGTGAAAATGTCAAATGTGTTGAATAAAAGAGTTTCCTTCCTCTGAACAAACAACAAAACTGTAGCTCTTTAACAAAATAATTGAGTAAAATACACCAAAAAAATACTCTTGGCGATATATCAATACAGCAGCCCACAAAATCGACACTGTTTAATTAAATACGATCGATATTTTGATATTTTTGCACACCCCTACCATTTTGTTAAGGTTTTTTCTCACAGTTCCTTGCCGTCATTATGGTGTTAAACTTATTCCAGACTCTACTTCAGACGGTAACTTTTCATACAACAACTTCTAGCTCTGTGAATGGAAACAAAGTGGGAGAGGTGTTTATCGGCTCCCTTTCATCAGATGTGCTGTTTCTAGTCGTGAATAAGAACCAGACATTTTCAGAGCTGAACTATAGTCATTTTCTTCAGTACAGACATGCGGCGGACTAAGGCCAGCGAGCTATTCAATATGTCTCTGCTTTGACATTGGATATTTCCTACAATGCTTTCTCCAGGCAATATAGGATTTAATTTAAGACAATTCTAGTGTAAAATAGTCTTCCAGTCACATCAATGAGCATTAATTAAAAAAAATAGCTGCACACACACATATGAAAAAGTAGATTAAGTAATAAAATAGGATTAATGGCAAGTTATGGAGGGTGACGATTGTTAATAGGGGAGAATAATTAATGGAAATTGTAATGTAATTGCTGTAAATAACATAAAAAAGTAGCAGCTATTCAAATATGTTTTCTGTTTCTTTTAGGGTTGTCAAAAGTATTGAAAATCAGATCCTAATCGATACTAAAACTATAATCGAAAGTAGATACTCATTTGAGCAAAAAAGTCACATTCACAGGACAGAAATTAACCTTTCCTGAATAGTTTTAGAATAATCTTTAATAAGGCTGGGTATCATTAAGAAGTTGCCGATACGATACATACCTTGATACATAGGCCACGATACGATACCTGTCTTGATACAGTGCACTTTTGATTCGATATGATCTATTTCAAATCGATTTGATACGGTTCAATAAAAAAATAATGGCTAAATCATGGCTGTGATACTAAAAGTTTTTGTTAAACCGATATGAAACACACCCATTTTAATCATCAAATGTCAAAAAATGTCAAATGTGTCGCATAAATGAGTTTCCTTCGTCTAAGCAACAAAACTATAGCACTGCAACACACTAATTTAGTAAAATATACAAAAAAAGGGATAGCTATGCATATAGATATCTCGATATTTCAATATTTTTGCACACCTCTAATCTTGAGCTGTATCAGAATAAGAGCACATAGACTAGTATACGCCCACGGACCACTATGGAAAATATCTAGACCATTGAGGAGTTACACAGATAAAAGACCACATGGGAATATAAAAGAAAGTACTTTGATTTACTGTTGAAAATCTCATTCTATTGCCTGGAAAAAAGGTGTTTTTTATTATCATTGTGGCATTAGAATCAGTATTGAGTATCAAGTCTATTCCTCAGTATAGAAATTAAGTTAAATATGTTAGTATCATGTCAGCATTACTATCTCTAGAAGGGCTGGGTACCATTAAGAAGTTGCCGATACGATACATACCTTGATACATAGACTACGATACGATACATATCTCGATACAGTGCCATTTTGACTCGATACGATATATTTCAAATCAATTCGATACTGTTCAATAAAGAATAAAGGCTAAATCATGGCTGTGATACTAAAAGTCTTTGTTAAACCACTTCTTGTGCAAAGTTCATATGAAACACAAACATTTTAATCATCAAAACAGTGAAAATGTCAAATGTGTCGCATAAACAAGTTTCCTTTCTCTAAACAAGCAACAAACTGTAGCTCTGTAACAAAATAATTTAGTAAAATTTACCAAAAAACACTCTTGGCGATATATCGATACAGCAGCCCACAATATAAATACTGTATCATCACATTAAACGATATATAGATATTTCGATATTTTTGCACACCTCTAATCCCTATAGTTTATTTCTATACAAATATTTTCTTAAGGCATGTCTAATGTTATTTTAGCAGTAACAATTCCAAACCTGCCAAAGTATCAAATGCACTTTGACCCTAACACTTGAATGCAATTTCAACTTAGGATGCCACTGCGGTCATATACTGAGGACAATGGCTTTGACACTCGCGCTAGTCACTTCTCGCTTCGATTACTGTAACTCTCACCTGCCAGTATGTCGTCTGTGGGGTCAGAGCCTTCAGTCGCTGTGATCTTTTAACTTGTAGGTGACCTTGATACTTTTGAAAGGCACCGTTAAATAAAATGCATTACACTTCTGTGTGGTATTAACTGTTAACACAAAGCATATTTAGATCTACAAGTAACCTTGTATTGATTTGAAAATGCTATAATCGCCACCATACCCCCTTTCTCCTGCTAATGAAGCTACTACACATCAGATTTGTGAAGTTGTAGTGTATTTTTTCTATCACGGTTTTGTATATTTATGGAAAATTATAGTGTGGGAGCATGACCAGAGCATTGAACAGAACCTTACAGCTAACTAAAGGTGTGCAAAAATATCAAAATATCAATATTTCGTACCGTTTA